ATTTTCGTTTGGTTGTTGCATAGTAGTTGCGTTTCGCGCTGTTTGAGTGCCTCCTGCCCACCGCTCACAGCATGGTAGACACCTTTTGACATGATGGAGGAAGAGGCCGTGGAGCTTCTTAGGCCTCGTCCTGGGAATGGCGTTGTATCGCGGGAATTTTGCTTGTGCCATTGCGTTCAATGCATCGCAGGAAAAGCAAACCCGATTTACTTTGCAGAGTTGGGAAACTTTGTTTGAAGCTGCTAAATGCAGGCAGGACGAGCTATACCTTCTTGTGCGAGAGCCACTGCACCGAGGAGAGCGTCCGCGGATGGTACCACCGCAAGTGCTACAGTACATACACTAACAAAACGTTGCTGGGTCGGCTGCCACTTGGACGTGGCCATGACTTTTCAAGCCATTCTGAATTGGAGGAGATACATGTATGTGATGATGGGACACCATGTACCAGCAAAGCGTAGAACAAGGAGAGATGTACAATGATTGAATCCACATCTGCAGACTTGTGCCTCATGACATGTGCATCAAGCAGAGTTGGAGAACAACGCAAGAATTTTGGCTTTCGCTCCAGAATGGCCCAGATTGCGTTGCAGCGGAAATCCACTATCAACGTCGGAGCATGATACAGTGCCTTCACCCACCTGGCCACTATGCACCGGCAACGAAGTGGCAAAGGGAGTGACCAGCTGTCGGCCTACCAAACATTTGACAGCCTGGTGCTGCATATACAGTCCGAGTTGAAGTCTGCAAGGGCCTTGCCCATGAAGCTTCTCACGGATAAGTACAATAACTGCAAACGGCACCAGCTTGGCCGACCATCACACTCCGCCTTAGTATCCAACTTTCATGCTGAAAAAGAAGATAATGAGCTACTTGGGGACCAGGTGAGTTCTTGGCATTGTTGAATGTGTAGAAATAATTTGATCATGTTTTATTGTTTGGTCATGACCAAGGAAATCCAAATAACACATACGCTCAACTACAAGATCACATGATCGCATGTACACACCAGATCATGAGTCCAGACTCAACTCATGCACAGCAACTAAAAGCCGCTAAGTTCATTTCACACGTGCGCTCGGGAAACGGCACATGCTCCATGCATAACATGACACGATGCGCTACTATCATGAATGTCTGGGTGGCCAAGGAATGCCACAATGTGTATGTAGACGTGAACACTACAGTGCCTGACATCTACAACATAGGAATGTATTAAATGGAATGCAAGTGTTCATGCTCATGTAATGTGGTAGTCTTCTTTGGTTGAATTACGTTCGTGGCTGTTACACGTATTATTACGACCAGCTTGGCTCTCGCGCTACTTCACACGGTACACATGTAGGTCAGAATAAATCAGGGCTTGTGGTCCGAGTCAGAGTAATGTCCAAAGCTGACGTCAGTATTCTAGGCTGACTTTATGCAAGAAGAGACAGAATTATAAACTGGTTGTTTTCTTTTAAAACACAATTGTATAGCCCGTGATAACGCGGACATGCTTCCCTTTTTTTTAAGGATCGAATTTCATTGGCGTGTTTCATTTGCGTTTTGTGTTTGAACTGTGTGTTTCCTTCAGCAATTGACATGTATGGTAAGTGGCATGGGTATACAGGCGCACTCTTCACGGAGCAACCACTTGTCTGTGTCGTCTGCAAACGGTCCGATGGCCGGTAGTACCCAGTCATTGCCGAACAGTCATACTAGTAACGCACCTGGCCCGACTCCAACCATCCCAGTCCAGCCGGTCGCCACAGATTTCCTGCCCGCATCCACGCCCACTCCTCACCCCAGTGTCCGGTAAGAGAACGGGCCCAATGTCAGGAGTTACGACGGGCCCACTGCCAGGAATTACGATAGGCTCACTGCCAGGAGTTACGATAGGCCCGCTGCGATATCCGCTGGGCTTGTCGCCGCCAATGTTGTGTTGCCCACTCATTTCGGCTTCAAAGGATCCGCTACTCCGCCGCGTCAGGTGAACACCAGTGGATCAGTTTCATCTCTGTGTACTACATCAGCCTCCAGTACAGATGTGTCGGCTAGTACGGCTTTGACTACAACCTCGGGTGCCAGGCAACCAGTGGCGGCTGCGGTGTCTTCTACAGCGCCATCTCAACCACGGTCGCAGCAGGTTCTTGTTGATCTCTAGCGTGCTATGTGGTGTGTGAGTGTGTGCGCGCGCGCGCGCGGACGCGCACACACAATGCCATGTGTTGTGCGGTGTGTGCGTGTGGGGTTTGTGTATGTGTGTGTGTGCGAGCGCGCGCACAATGCCATGTGTTGTGCGGTGTGTTTACGCGTGTGTGTGCGCGCGCGCGCGCGCATGCACACAATGCCATGATGAGGGTGAAGGCAGTTTCGACAGTGGATTGGACTGTAAGTCCGACTGTGAATCGGACAGTGAGTCTGAAAGCTAAGGCTGGTGGACCGCACTATTGAAGTTTTTGAATTGAATTGAATTTGAATTGTACTTTTCAACTCTGCAGCAAATGACAAATACACTACTGCGCTATTATTTACATCTTCCATATCGCTCGTTTGCTAAGATCAGCTTATGATCGCTCTCACTCTGCCGTTTTCCGGTGTCCTTTGCTTCGCTCGTGCTAGCTCTCTTCCGCTGGTGTTGTCGAGATAGTGTCCCAATAAATGAAATCCTCTCATACGAAAGATCCATGTTTGGGGGTGATTTTGGTCAAATTTTACAACAAATCAATCTGTGCCATCTCTAATCACCATCAATAGGAAATGAACGCTCAGCAAAGGGCAACCATGATCTACAAATCATCCAAACACAAGAACAAATTCACATCGACTGCACTAATTTTCAATAAAATATCGTATCACATGCTGCCAATTTCAATCAAGGAGTCGTAAAATAACGTAAAATAACGACTTCCGTAACGAAACCTAAAATTGGTTCTCCCCAGCTTATGCCCTAGTTCTGGACATGACAACAAGCCGTTTCGACATCCCTAGGACATGGTCTTTCCACCCATGCAAAGCTCAGGTTGTCTGCTTGAGACTGAAACGGGACTTGCAAAACAACGTCTTTTAGATTTGGGCCGCAGGACTATTTGTTTATTTCGCAAATCCGCTACAACGATGTAAAAAAACACCAAAAAAGGAGAGGAAATAGCAGAAGTGCAGTGCCAGCTATACCCCTTCCTGCTGTGAACCACAACTTTACACAGCGCCAAGTAGCCTGTTGCATGCATCCTCCATCATTTCAGATTGTCCAGTGCACGGAAAAGGGAATGCACATACAATGTACTAGTAACTACAGTTCATCTACTGTTTCTCTGAGAAGAGTCTGAAAGCATGCGAGAAATGAGCGATGCGAGAAATGAGCGATAATGCATTTTGGGCAATGGGCCCGAGGTTGCAGAAAAGGTTGCGAAGTACATATAGTTCACGAGCATCTTTGCCTTTGGGATAGGGCTATCACTATCAGGTTTGGAAAGCAAAGAACCATGCTTGTGCATTTGTGGTCAGATCTTATGATTATGATCATGACGGAAATTTGGAGGCTTTGGAAAGATTTTTGGTGACGGAGGTAATGTTTTGTTAGCCATGGACTTGGTGCGCCTGAGCTGTGTGCGCTGGAATCTACTACCATTTTTTTGTACTTCAAAGTGTACGCATGCCGTTCGCTCAAAGCCACGTACCTTCACTGCTGAGCGCAATCCCCACAGACCTGGCTCCGCCATCTGACCACCTGAAACGTGTGACCGTTTGGAACTTTCCTTTGCCTGGCCTGTTCAACTTCATACATGATCGTAGCCTTTGGGTAATCCTGAAATAAAGATTATATTAATTGGGTGCTTTGTCCTGTGGCAGTAGCGATTAGGGTGACGTTGAAGTGGTCGGCTCCAACATTGGGAGGGATGGATGCTATGCGTGGTGTGGAAGGGCTGCCCTTATGGAGCTGGGCTATAGTCTCTCCACCAGCGCGCGGCGCCCTCTCCAACTTGTCCCGCCTGCCAGGGCGAACACCTACTCGCGTGCCTCTTTCCTCTTTGTTACCGCTGCCACCTGGAATTCTCTCCCCACTGACATTAGAACCACCCAAAATAGTCATTGCTTTGTGTCTCGTGTCCGTACCATCTTTGCCAACACCCGCTTTGAACCCGCTGGTTTCATTCCTTCCAGAGTTTCTATAACATAGTAACGAATGTTATGGCTGATTTCTACAGTACGCATTTGTGTCTTTTAACCCTTCCTCTTCTCAATTATGTTATAATTTTGCAGATATATTCCCAGTAAGTCATGGATGGAGACCCCAGCTCGACTTATAGCAAGCCTCGGCCTTTGGAGAATCCATACAATAAAATAATAAAAAGGGACCGGTGAGTACTGTACTAGCAATGGTTACATCTGGGCGAGCAGATCGAGGACTGGGCAGATTGTAACAATAAACAAAACTGAGTTTTCAGAAGCCGGAGGAACGCCACCGCCATGCAAAACGCTAAGGCGCAGATGCAGGTCAAAAAAGGTATGGAAGCGGACGGATGCATCCTCCTCTTCCGAAGCTAGAAATTCGGGCACGGCCACCCGCCCCGCAGGTGTGCACAACCAAAATGAAGGCGACCTGACAAAAATGTGATCGGTATATAATGATGAAGTGCTACGTGTATAGAACAGTATACAACGTAAACGTTGACTGTGTCGCCAATTATTTGGGCTTTCTGTACAGCTAGTCTGGCCAGATGATCCCATGGGGCCGGCCCCTAGGTCCTGACCTCAGGGCTCACAGCAGCCACAATTCACAAGTACAAAACACCATGGTCCATATTCTCTAGCTCGCTGTCGCCAAATGTTGAACCCTACCCCTCTATTTGTAACACTGTGCCTATATGGGCATCGCATGGTGTGAACGCCACGCTTCAACCATGCCACTCTCTACCCAACAGTGTTATTTTTAAAACCTACTATTAAAGATAGTATGGCATGTATCTTCAGAACATTTCGTTATCTAGTAGATCTACCGCATGCGAAGACGCAAGTCCAAGCAATCAAGAAGGCAATTCCTTTCATCTATCAAACGTTTTCCCCTCTTCAGGATAGCACAGGGAATGGTGGAAAATTTGAAAGACTCATAACTACTCAATCTGCGCGGACAGAACTGTTTCGTCCTTTGTGGACTCATCAGCGCAGCACTATAATTATTATAGAGTTTGTATCTAGCACACTTAGTCTTTGTTATTTCTGGTGCCTTTCGAAATATTCGAAGAGGTGGGATTGTGCGAACAGGCTGAAAATAACCGGCACAGGAGCCTTGCGTCCCGACTGCGGCAAGGTACGTTTCCTGTTTAGGGTAGGCACCGTTCAGTACAAGTGCTTTGTTGGAATTCTGCATTCCCGTTGGAATGAACCAGAGGGTTGTGCGGGACGATAGAGAGGGAGAGGGACACATTGCGTGGTTTCGCCGCGAGAGGGGGACATTGCGTAATTATTATTTCACCCTGTTCGCACCGACCTGCATGATTCCAGCAACATGTATAAGAACCATGAGTGTGTTGAGACCGGCGACGACATCTGCCACCAGGGCGTAGGGAGTCGCACAAACCACTCCCTGGCACAATAGAGAGGTTTTGCATTCCGAATTTCGAAATGGTTTTCGACTGTGCTTTTCCGAGAAAAGTGCGTGCCGAAAAACGGCATCTTCAGTGTTTTGCATTCCGAAAATCTGATTCGACTTCGTTTCCAAGGGTTGCCATGCAAAACAAAAATGGAGAGCGTCGAAGGCGCCAAAACCGAAAAAATGTTTGCGTCCAAATCTATCAAATTCGGTTTTGAGGCGTGCATGCTGGTACCATGGTCCAACAGCAGGAACGTGTGGTCTCTGACGGACTTCCTGGTGATACCAGGCAAACGTTGGCTCAGACGAGGCTAGAACTTTTGCAGTCTCCTCGAATCCCACAGAGCCGCGAACAAAGGGGTTGAGCACAAAATAGGAGTTGCCTGAGCAGGATCAAATCCATGTGCAGGTCAAACCAAATTTGGGTGCGGTTCGAAGAGGAGGACGGACCAATGGTGGACTGAGTGATGCAACAGCTGAAGACGAGGTTGGCGAACTACTGTCTTGTACTGTCAGTAAGCTCCATGGCAAAGGAAGATAGAGTGTGATGGAGTGTGAGAAGATCTACATGTAGTCAACATGGCAAGATCAACGAGAGCAGCAAAAACCAGCAAAAACCAAAACTACACACGTGGAAAAGTTTCAAATATATTCAGCGAGAGCAGCAGAAAACAAAAATACACACATGAAAAATATTCAAATATGCGCTCCCAAACAGGAAAGAGCTGAAAATCCATTTTCGGAAAACCATGCACTTTCGCCACCACACTTCCGAAAGTTCAACTACATTTTTTACTCCTGCCGCCACATTCCGAAAATAATTCCGAAATTTGGAATGCAAAACCTCTCTAATGTGACGCCATGATTCGTGAGGATCTCATTGTCTCGTAAATCTGTACATATACAGTCGTCCCTCTCTAATCCGGCACTTGTTTATCCGGAACCCTTGCCAACCGGCGCACTTTCTGACGAAACCTATTTTTCGTTCGATTCCTACATCTTAATCCGGCACTTGAATTCCGCCTCCGGCAGTGACTTTTTGAAACGAATCGCTCAAACTGCACGTAGTTTGATTTCATAATCCGGCAGTCGCAAATCGCGTACCGTACAGGTGCACTCCTTGCCAGGCCGGCCAGACTAGGCCAGTCTGGTCAGTGCCGCGCGCGCGGGGCCACTTCAGAGTTCAGTTCAGTTGACTCGAGTTGCGGTGCCACAATCACTGCTGCAGACCTGACTGCTATATTTTCACAATTCGCTGACAGCAAGGAGTAGTGTGCTGCCAATTTTCAGGTGTGTGTGTGTGTGCGTGTGTGTGCAAGAGTACATGTGAACATGTTCTCTATTTTACTTTATCACTTTATCACTGTGTATATTCCTGGAGAACAATTGAGAATATAAAGCCGTGCACCAAATACTTGGGTTGACATGGAAAAACCCTGCGTTTTGACGTATGATACATGCATACAATTGGGTAGGGTCGGGTCAGAGGGCAGGATTTCTTAATCCAGCACCCTCGTTAATCCAGCAGAAAACGCCGTAGCAAAAGGTGCCGGATTAGAGAGGGACGACTGTACTTTTGAAATACCGGTAGTTTGCTCCGTTGTGGTTTTCACTGTTTCATTGTTGCATTTGCCGACCCAAAGTCGAGTGTCTACCCAAAGCCAAGTGTCTAAACGGTGTCAGAATTGGTTTGGATTTGCTGTTGGAATGGATGCTTTCACAAGGGTATTGACTTACTCAGATGAAGTTGGGAGACGCCGTATAAAACTAAACTTTTAAAAGATCCCCACCCCCCCCCCCCCCCTGGGAAAATTATGCCATTGTCGCATTTGCACTACATTAGTGCTGTTGATAATTTTCTGTTAGGCTACAATGCTTATCAGTGACTCACGGTAGGCAGTTGGAGTTTTCAAGGGTATGGATGTCATGGACCTCATGTAGAATAACAGTTATCTCAGATCTGCCAGTAAAACTCAAGCCGAAGACAGAAGATATCTTTGTTACAAGAGGAATCTTGAGTGTGTACTTGTGCGTAGTACTGGTGTGCTCTGGTCCTATGCTTGACGTTTAAAGCAGTTTCTTTAACTGCCAGATGGCTACAAGGCGTTTTGATGGTGTGGAGCAGCTTCTGTAAGGCTCCGTCTGTCCAGAAGTGTTGCCTCTCGGTGCAATAGGCCAGTAAGAGTCACTTGGTGAAGCTGTGTACCAAGTCTCCAGAAGTGGACAGAAGAATGCATTATGATCTGAAGCCGTTTGAGAGGAAAAAAACCCACCATTGTACTTATCTACTGTAAAAGCGGAAATTTTCGGTTGTGTTTTATTTTCGGTAACTTCGATGCCGACAATTTTTACCGAAAATAAAACGCACCGAAAATTTCGGTACTACCGGTACTGTATACATTTTGTACTCAACGAGCAGTTGTGATTTCGTAACTCTGAGTTTCACGAACTTAATCGATCATCAGACGAAAATTGGTACTGACCCTGCCCTAAAAGTACTGCTATATACATGTAGCATGAATGTGGCAAGCCCAGCATAACAATTACCATACTGATTATGTAGCGCGCTATAGAGTGTGTGAGAAAGTGTTAGTTATCTGTGTATTGTTTAAAAGTGATATTCTCGTGGAATCAGGTGGCAAAGCTTGACAAAAGGTGTTATTTGGCCTAACTTTAGCTGCAGAGAGAAAGTGTTATTTTCTGTGCATAATTATTATTATCAACTAAGTGATAATTCTGCTAAGATCAGGTGACATAACATAAGGAGTGCACATCCAAGACGTGCTAGAGCTGATTGCCAGTTAGGTGTAGAACAGCAGTACCGTTGGTCAGTGTCGTGGAATGTTATCGCATGAGCTGATTGTAAAGTAACTGATGGTGTTAGTGGATACTCTAGCGTAACTTGTAGCTCTTTGGTCCTCTTTTCTTCTTATAGGTCAAACTTATGCCACATCTATTCGTATTTCCCCATCAACATGTATGTGTATGTGTATGTGTATGTGTATGTGTTTCTGAGTTACGGACATTTCACAGTTACGGGCAGTGCTCGGTCGCGGCCGCACAGATATACGTGGTTCGAGTGTACATATTTGCCGGTGTATTCAATGAGAGGTATGCATCTAAGATGGCCATCACCTTTTTGCGGGGCAAGTTCGAAATCTTTTATTCTCACGATGGCCTGTGGCCAATAAGAGAAAAATAATTACAGGCACGGGGATCAGATACAGAGAGATCAAAGTTTAGCTGCTTGCTGAGGCAGTAGCGATGGCAATAGGGAGTTTATCACGTAGGCTGGGCGCAATGGAGCTATAGATGTGCTGAGCAATGTGAGCAAGTACATACGGAAGAGATGACAAGTGGTAGGATGTTTGCTTTGAAATCTCGTCTGGGGTTGATTTGCCGGAGGCTGAGTGGAATGCTATTAAAGAGATCAAGAGAAGCATAGATGGGGGAGTCTCTTAGCCGGTTTGTACGTGTTGTGGGTAGCTCAAAGGTTCGGGGGAACCTGAGCGTGCAAATGGATTATTATTGTTATTATTTTCTAGGTCGCCCTCGCTTCGGTCTTTGTTGTTGTGCGCAAGGTGGAAGACTGTTCAGCACCTGAACGCACGCATCAAACAACACGCACCACGTCACATTGTTATTTTTATTATTATTATTATTAAACTCAATCTCGTAGCATGTGCACGCATTGCTAATGTGGGGAGCAACCCCAGAGATGAGGGTGATAACCAGCCATGGTAAATGTACAAAAGAAAACAGTGGAAAGAAAGGAACAGGGAGGAAAACAAAGCTCAGCCAATTAAGTGAGATAGTCAGGCATTACATTGTTTAGCTAAACACACGTGAGTGCTGTAGGAAAACGCAACTCAGTACAGACAACTTGGCGAAACTGAGACATGCTGTGGCAATGGTGGGCGAGGCTTGATAGCTTGAGCCAGTCAGACTAGGAATGACACAAAGGGGATTTTGTAAACTGGACAGTGCGAGCTGCAGGTAGCGAGACTTGTGCCCTTGTTGAAAGGCTCGGCACAAACCAGTCATAGGGAAAGAGATGCCTTGGCACTTTCTCGAGTTTTATCTTTTGAATTAGCATGTTGCTGTGGAGACTGCATCGAATAGAAAGGGGGCAAACATGAGCGAGAACATAGAGTTGTGCAGAGGAGAAATCACGGGGCAAGCAAAATAGCATTTTTAATAATTTTCGTTGGCAAACTTCGAGCTTGTCTGATATCGTGTTTGATAACCCACACCACGCTATGTCACAGTAGTCGAAGATCGGACAAATGTACAAAGAGAAAAACAGAGATCTACAGTCGTGAGGCAGGTAACAGCAGTGAGGCTTCAGAGTTCCTAAAGTCCTGGATGCTTTAAGGCAAATATGGTTAGCATGTTCGGACCATGATAGCTTCGAGTCAAGAACGATTCCCAGTGCCTGTGTGAAGTTACAACTTCCAGGGCCTGGGTGCAGTTCGAAAACGTCAAAGGCGCAGATGGTGGACATGCAGAAATATACAACAATTTGGTCTTCTAGACATTGGGCTGTAGCTTCCAGATCTTCATCCAGTTTACCACCTCCTTGATGCCCTGCTGGAGCGATACCGTTAGTTCGTGCTCGGTGGAGGCTGAGCGGTGAAGGGCGGTGTCATCTGCATAAAGTGAGAGGCCAGGAGTAACGGATGGCAAATCGTTCACGTACATCAAGAAAAGCAGGGGGCCAAGAATAGATCCTTGTGGAACACCTGCATTAACTGGACGATCCTCCGAAATCAGGCCGCCTGCTTTCACAGCTTGGGTCCGCATGCTCAGGTATGACGACAACCAGTTGTTGGTGCGGTGGGTGACACGGTAGCACGATCGTAGTTTTGCGATCAGCCCTCTATGCCATACCGAATCGAATGCTTTGGCCAAGTCGAAGAAGCAGAGACCTTGATGGCGCCTTTGGTGTCGCTGAGTGTACAGCTCCTGGACGATGCGAGTCAGCTGTAGCGAGGTCGAGTCCCCACGACAGAAGTTACCCCATACTTGGCAGGTACGGCCCGTTGCAGTACATTTATGAGTATGACCTCCCAAAGTTCATGACCTTTTATACAGAGTTGGTATCAAGGTGTGTACGCTTGTAGTGGACTTGCACCGCAAAACCTAATGGCGAAAAATGCATGCATACTAGTACGTCCCATTCACACTCTGTCAGCTAGCAGGCCATGTGTTTTGTAGCCATGATTGCGTCAGGTTCCTCGTTCATCTGACATGCTTCAGGGAAAGAGGCTGAGTTGCTGATGGATTGCCAAGCTCACTGATCTATAGAACCACTTACTCCATACACAGTTTAAAGGCTTGCCAAGTGCTAGGTACAGATTCCTACACAAAGCGTAGAAAGGAGAACACTTTTTTATCCTTCAGCGTGTATGTTTCAATAACGAAATGCTACAAAACATCAAACACACACATGCACAATGGCTGGCAGTGACATTGGCATTGATGTTGCGACCTCACAAAGGGATATGTGCCATCCGAATGAAGTACTGTAAATCATATTAAGTTAACGACCCGCAAAGTTAACGATTTTCTGATTTTTGCAGGTTAACGATTTGTAAAGTTAACGATTTTTTCAGACTGACGCCGTAAAAAAATTGTTGCATGTATTGAATGTGATTCCCGGTCACTGATTGTTTGATCTGGTACGAAACTGTGGTTAAAAATAAAGTTGATTCTCAGGTCATAAGCCTGTGAAAATAAAACAGAAACAGAAAAATAATAAGGCACCCATTTTGATAATCCAGGGGATGGCCCACGCCTGGTAAAGAGAATAAATAGAGAAAAGAAAAGATGGATATTTCACAGGAAGTACATGTACAATTTGAATGTGATTACTAGCATACAAGTACGTTTTTTGTAAAATAAATATTACTAGTATGATGCATTTCAACCACAGTACAAATCAATCTCAAAGTCAAAGGATGTAATAGTACTAGTACAGATTTCAGCTGACACAACAGCAATAGCAATGTCTGTAGAGGTGAGTATCTAAACATCATCAGAGGTAAGGTCGACCCAAGCGACAGTAGCCACAGGAGACGGAGCAGTAGAGTCAGAAGCAGAATCAACAGCAGAGGACGGAACAGCAGAAGACGGACCAGCAGAGGATGGAGCACCAGAAGACGGAACAGCAGAGGATGGAGCAGCAGAAGCAGCAGAAGATGGAGCAGCAGGGAAAGGAGCAGCAGAGGATGGAACAGAGGACGGAGCAGCGGAAGCAGCAGGAGACGGAGCAGCGGTAGCAGCAGAGGACGGAGCAGCAGAAGCAGCAGAAGACGAAGCAGCAGTAGACGGAGCAGCGGAAGCAGCAGAGGACAGAGCAGCAGAAGACGAAGCAGCAGAAGACGGAGCAGCGGTAGCAGCAGAGGATGGAGCAGCGGTAGCAGCAGAGGATGGAGCAGCGGTAGCAGCAGAAGAAGTAGGAGGAGAAAGTGCAGCTGTGATGCCAGCCTCTGCAAATCCGCGCATGACGGTTGCCTTCTGCTCCTTCAGCCAGGATAAGGTTGCGACCAGCCACTGGAAGTGTAACGGCTTGACGATGGAAGTGCGCAAGTCCAGTTTGACGTTGGTCGCATCTGCTCCGTTGCCCATGTCTTCCGCAACCTGCTTCGCGTACCAGTCGCCGAACTGGTTCTTCAGGTGGCGCTTGAAGGGCTCATTGACGGTCAGATCAAGCGGCTGCAGCATGCCGGTGCAGCCAGCAGGGATGAATAGAACCTTGATGTTGTTATCCGAGAGCCTCTTCAATACTGCCGCACAACGGTGTGCAGCAAAGACATCCCAGATGAGAAGGCCGCACTGCGTGTCCGCAAGATCCAGACGTTCACGCTCACTAGCGAAGAACGGGACGAGCACGCGGTCAATAAACTCCAACATGGTGACTTCGTTGGACCAGTGATTGTCGGAATGTGTTACATTCCAGCCAGGTGGTACATTCCCGGAAGGATGGCAGCGGGTTGTCTTCCCAGCGTAAATCAGCTGAGGAGGCAACACTTGACCTGCAGCTGAAACGCCGAGCAGCACAGTCATCTCTCTCTTGTCGTCGAGACCAACAATGTCCACCTGCCGACTGCCCTGCTCCGCCATCGTCCACTTGTTTACTGGGACCATCTTTGCTCCAGTTTGATCACAGTTGACCACCATCGTCGGAGGAACGTCGTTCTCCGCCACCACACTAGCGACTTTCCTCAGAAATTCAGCTTTTACAGCAGGGAAATCTGGGGGCGTCTTCCGGGCAGTTCTCGTTCCCTTACGCTTGACATAGCCAAGACGATCCATAAAAGATACGGCCCAGGACTTGTTCAGGTCGACCCTTCCTCCGTTCTCTTTCAGTAGAGAGGGATTCTTATGGCAGACGATGCCCTTCGCCGCCGCTACGACAATTGCCGAGCTGATCGGCGACCCAGAGCCACGCAAACTTCGTATGAGTTGCTTCGTCAGATCTTCGATCTCCTGAGGCAGGTGAAGCGGCCTGCCACGAGGGCCGGATGGAACAACGCTAACATCAGCCAAGCTCTTACCCTGCTGAACCTGGGTCTGCAAATTTCGTTTGAAATTTCGCACAGTTGCCTCTGGGACAGGACGGCCGAGTTCCTTCGAAAACTTAGTAACGGCGCTCTTGTTACCAAACTGAATGGCATGTCGTCCAATCTTGGTCCGGACCTCCTCGTCGTAGGATGCAGTCGACGTCCTCTTGCGCTTTCGCCCAACAACCTCCGTCGACGATACCTCAGCCGCTGCAGCAGCTTCGCCGACCTGCAATGCTTTCTCATTGTCAACGTTCACTGACTCGGCAGTCGTGCGAGGCAAGAAATAATTCGTGATCGACATGATTGTCAGGAGGAATCAAAACCAAAACTACTGCTACAACACTCCAGCCAGTAAAACAAACAACAACCATCGTCTTGCCAAGCAAAGTTACTTTACTTCACCGTCGAACGCGCAATGCGCCAGCGGCAAACACCAGCACTAGCACAAGTAACAGGAACTGTTACTGTTTCATGCACCCGTGCAATGCAGTACATCGTACAATGTATCAAGATTACATGCATGATCTGCACTGCACAGTCAGTACAGCACTGTACTACAGAAAAGTACAACTTTTACTAACGAATTTTAAGATAACGACCAATCTGTACTCGTTAACTCGTTAGATTTACTTGTTCGTTACATATTCATGATTTACAGTATGGCGAGAAGTGGGTAAAGTATGTGATGAGCATAACCGTTGATACACGGGCAATTCCTCCTTCCGAAGGCACCTCCTCACTATGTGACTAATACATGCAGTCTGTTTCGCTTTCTCGCTTTCTTGCTCTCTTCTTGCTCTCTTCTTCCTCTGCTTCTGTCAATTTTACAGATGTGGATCATGCGGGATACTTTACTGATCCTGGCCCTGATCTCGTGTGTATCTGCCAGCGTTTCAGAAGAAGAACAGAACACTTCAGGTAGAAAAGCCCTGCGTGCCAATGCCAATGATGTGTGTACCATTGTGCCTATACGCGGACGGCGTGACAGGCAGGTCTGCACTCACCAGCATCTCAAAGCCATCATCTCGCATGCTCCGCGGCGAGCGAATCGAGAAACGTACCACCTGTAAGTCGTTTGTGTTGCGTCCAGCAGATGTGGTTCATGTCTGCACTTGTTTGAATGCTCCTATTCCATTATGCCCACTCTCAAGACAGGGTCGAGGGGAATACGTTGGGAAATACATGGGTGTTGGGGATATGACATGGAGGAGGGGAGATGATCGAGTGCCTGGTGAAATAAGACTGGAACAGAGAAAGTATAAATGTGTGTGTGTGTATATGTGTGTGTATGTGTGTGTTTGTATGTGTGTGTGTGTATGTGTATGTGTGTTTGTGTGTGTATGTGTGTGTGCATATGTGTGTGTGTATGTGTGTGTGTATGTGTGTGTGTGTGTATGTGTGTGTGTGTGTATGTGTGTGTGTGTGTGTGTGTGTATATGTGTGTGCATTGCGAAAGACGGCTCCCAAGGCCACAGGGCTTGCAACGCCATGCCAAATACTGTTGAGTTTGCGATTTCTCTCTCTTCTCTTCTCTCTTCTTGTCGTTGTCCCCCGCTTCTGGGAGCAGCGTGGCCCGATAGGGTAGCTGTACATAGTAGTAGTAGTAGTAGTAGTAGTAGTAGTAGTATGTGTGTGTGTGTGTGTATGTGTGTGTGTGTGTGTGTGTGTGTGTGTGTGTGTGCATGAGCTCGTGCATGCTTGCATAAGTGCGTGTGTGTGTGTGTGTGTACTTTGTGATTGTATTGGCAAGTAAAGAAAAGGCAAAAAATCGAAGCAAAACTTTTCGAGTGGAAAACTTGTCAGTACGGTCTAGGATCGGCCTGGTCCCATAGCTCGGATGATGAGAACATTGCTCATGACAAGCAAGGTCCCTGGTTCGAATCCTGCCGGGGTTTGCATGCTTTCGCTGTTTAGGCAGTTCATTTCCCTGACAGATTACGTTGAATTTGAAGTTTCTCCCATATCAAAGCAGGAGGTTTGCATTATGCTGACAGATTCAGGAAAAGAGAGAGAGAAACAGAGATGGATGGAGAGAGAGAGAGAGAGAGAGAGAGAGAGAAAGAGAGAGAGAGAAAGAGAGAGACAGAGACAGAGAGACAGAGACAGTGCGAGAGAGAGACAGAGAAACAGACAGACGGACAGACAGTCAGATATACAGACAGACAGACAGACAGACAGAGGGAGGGAGGGATGGAGACGGAGGAAGAGAGAGAAAGAAAGAGAGACAGACGGACAGACACGCACCGCGAGAGAGAGACAGAAAAATACATACAGACTCACAGACAGACAGACAGACAGACAGACAGACAGACAGACAGACAGACAGACAGACAGACAGACAGACAGACAGACAGAGGGAGGGATAGAAACACAGAAAGAGAGAGAGAGAGAGAGAGAGAGAGAGAGAGATGATGGATGGAACACATCGAAAATGGTGCAGTGAACCTCCCCGAACAAAATTTAGTAACGTGCGTCCTAAAAACTCGGATATTGAGCCAATAGTAATTATGTAAAGAGAAAGGTGTCAGGTCGTCGAATGTCTCATTATCCTTGACAGTTTCGTGTCTTGTCGCAATATCTGACTGTCTGTTATCTCATTACCTCGGTGGACTGTTAGTAACTCACAGATCCCTTGTTTTCATTATATTTGTCCTTCCCTTCAACCTTCTGCATTTCTTTTTCATCTTCTTTTCCTGAGCAGGAACATCAGCCACAATGATATTGCTAGCTTCAAGCCACGGAATTTCAAAAGGGTGGGCCAGTATTTGAAAATCCTGTAAGTGAAAATCTGCCCGGCCTTGTTTGCGCTCTTGGTGTGGGTTTGGTACCATGAGATCCGTGTGGTTCAAGTACTTTGCTGTCACGTGTCATTGTTGGGCCCCGTGATATCACTCTGGTGACATCCACATGAGCTGAACTGGACGAGGACTGTTTGGGGAATGCCATTGTAGTGAACAACACTGGCCAGTTCTAAAATACTGACAAAGCCTTTTGCGCATTGCCAAATATGGAAGGTATGAGTAATGCATGTGAGTATGCTGGGATCAGGGAGCCTCTGTTAAACACCTCAGACGACCATGCACAGGTGGCTGTGTGGGGTGTTCATGGTACGAATTACATAATTGCGCAATGGACTTATTCTACAACACTGGGCAGGGCTAACATACTCACCAATGCTATAAATCTGGGCTGTTCTACAACATACTGAGATGAGACTAACTTCGGCAATGTCTGCTCTCCCCTCCCCCCCCCCATTTGCCTTTTCAGGGATTTGTCGCACAATCAGCTCTCAATCTTGGAAAGCAACATATTCAGCGAGCTGGCCAACGTCTCCCACCTGTAAGGTTGCACTACTGCATCTGCTTGCTTCTACCTTCGTTTCATGCTGTACAGTGACCTGTGCACTGTCTTGTGCATAGACATATTGTGGTTGAAGCGAGAGGATGGTTTTTACCAAGTTTACCACAGCACCTGTACCATAGCATGTAATTCCTTGCCACAGGCAATGACATCTGGAGCAGTATCCGTAGGTTCTTCCATCTCCATGGTTACATTTTCAATCACCATGGTAACAATATTATTCCATCTCCTGGGGTATTCGTTCTACCTCCATGGTTACATCTCGTTGGCTATGAAGCTAAGACCCTAGATCGGCTCAGCTCTCCAGGCCAGACCACCACTTCCGGAGTCCATGTCCGCATACTTCTTCTTTTTATGTATTTATGTTAGTCTTATTTTACTTGAGAATTCCCAACAGGTGTCATCGCCTTACCTCTGCTGCACTGACTCTGTTTGCCTGGTCTGTTTTCCCTTGTCACTCTACAGTCTCTTGCACCATAACAACATCACATTGATAGATTATGCTGCTTTCAATTCATCCGGCCCTCGAAGAATGCAGCACCTGTGAGTTCAAAAATTCAAGATAATTTCTTCCTCCGCATCATTAAAATTGTCGCTTTGCACATCGCAATGTTTGTGACTTGCTCGTCTTAGTCAGACTGTCGGAATCGCTGTTTTCTGTGTTCGAACATTGGTGCGATCCTTCCTAAGCAATGTATACTTGTTTCTGAAGCCGTGGTGGTCTCGAACTTTGTCGGAGCTCTCTTCTGCACCAAACTAATTCATCGTGCTCCGCACCATTCCACTCCAGAGCGCATATCGTTTTTCAGGAGTTCGTGCCGTCCCACATCGTTCGCGTGAGCACTTATCAAGATTGCAAGCTCGGTTATAAGAATCCTGGTATCTCTGCCGAATACGAATTTTGAAACATCGCTCCGGGCAGCGACAATTTTAATGATGTGGAGGACGTACATTTAAATGATGATTCATGATGAAGAGAGACTGCATGCGGGACAGAGTGAGCGGGAGAGAGTGAGCGAGAGAGAGAGAGAGAGACATAGAAAAAGATAGAGGAAGAGACATTTTTGTTTTGTTTGCCTGTCTGTCTGACTCTCTGTTCGTCCGTCCCTCCATCCATCCATCCATCCGTCCGTCTGTTTGTCTCTTTATCCACTTGTCTTTCCATCTGTCCATCCATCAATGCGTCTTTCTGGCAACCTATGCCTGTATTCCTAACTTGTTTCCTCATGTTTTGCCTATATCTGTTGATGTTTTATTCAGGAACCTTGGTCACAACATGCTATCTTCCCTTCCTGCCAATGTCTTCCAATCAATTAAAACTCTACGGACACTGTATGTAATAATAATAATAATAATAGCACATTTCGCGTAGTAGAGCACTAAATAAAGAAATTCAGTGTTTTTTTCCGCTTCTGTCTTGTGAGCATCATCAGCTAGGTGTAGTAGCTGCTGATACCGATTTCTCGCCGGGTGTCGAGCTGCACAGTTTTTGCACTGTACGTAGCCATGTTCATTGAAGCTTCATTGCTTGCGTTGTCTCCGGTTCTTCCCTCATACTCTCAGTGCTGTTTCTAACACCTTTGCATGCCAGTTTGTGTACCAGCACAATCTATTTTTCCTTCACCTTAACGCACCCGTTCTGATCTTGTAGCTATGAATACTACAGTTGATAGTGACATACTACCTTGATGAAATTATGAAATGAAATATGTAACATACGGCTCAGAAATGTTTCTCTTCTAGACTCATCATTGAATCTCTTCTTTCTTTTCCACATTCTTTCTCAGTTGTGTACTTTCTTTTTCTACTGTGATTCGTTCTGCCCGTTATGCAGATCGTTGGATCACAACCTGCTTTCTAGCTTACCAAATGACATTTTCCGACCGTTCACAATACTTCGGCAGCTGTAAGCCGACGTTGTGACATTATTGTACATTACCAGTGTCCAGGTCCAGGGCCCACACCCTGCTCCAAGGCGCAGAGATTACGTAATTATTTTAATGAAAAATAGCCTGCGTTTCGGGGCTTATGCCGAGTATTTGTTTAACACCCTCCCTTTCCAGTCACAGATCCTTGACAGGGGAATCCCCCATTCTCCACACAATATTGAACCATAGAGGATGGTGGCGTTCCTACGGATGCGGGACAACTTGGCCTCTAGCCGAGACTGACGCGAAACGTGAAATTTATTTTTTCTCCCGCTCATCAGTGTATATGGCACCTAGATGATACCCATCTAACCAATGTGCTTTCGCTTTTTCATGCATGTTTTAGGTTCCTGAATCACAATAGACTAGCGAGCTTTCCGAACAGAACCGTGGAAACGTTGAAGAAGCTGTGAGTTTGCCTTTCTTGTGTGCTATGGACCAGCTAGTAACATATGCCCTCTGCACCCCCACAGACAGCTTTCCATCACTGTTAGGTACAAAAATCGGGTGAACTCACGGCTATGCCATCTTGGTAGCTACGTGTGTTAGAGAATATCCATTCAAGTTTGTTCGTTAGTGCGAGAGTTCGTTCGTATTCGAAATTCCATGTCCGTTTCACGCCTATGTGGCGCCATATAGGGTTTCGTCCTGATTTCATGCAAGCAACTAATCTGTGATCATTCTCTACCAATATAGGTATTGCTACTTGGCCATTGTGTGCAGATGGGCAGTACCGGGATGCTACGCTGGTATTCTTGCAAACTTCAGATATTCTTTCAACACACAACAATACACAAGACTGTATTAAAACCTATTCAGATTTCAAACAATAAGAGGACAGAGAAACTGTGTTAACTCTGAGTTTCACGCACTAAGCGATCATCAGAAAACAGTATTGAGTAACTCTGGAGGAGTATTGGTTTATATACCCACAAACTTGCAAAGTGTAAATGTGTAAATGGCGGCATCATGGTGCAAAGCTAAAAGTTGTGAATGGCGGCAGTGCAAAGCGTAAATGACTGCATCATGGGGCAAATCAGGCGAAAAGTGCGAATGACAGCAGTGGTGAAAGGTGACAACCACTGGATCTGGTTGTCTCTTACTTAATTAGGTGATGGCTGTGGATGGACCTATTCAGATTTCCGGGGTTGCCGTAATCGTGGTGTCATGGATGATTGGGTTCTTTAATGGGAGACACTTGCCCCGACTTTTGCAGTAATGGTCGCATGTTACCAGTCCAGTCGTTGGGAACACATTTTCGGTCGTGGGTTGCATGGATTGCACATGTGTTGTAGACACAGGTTGTTTGTGAATACGGAACCTAAATTCTTGAAATGAGCGTAATTAAAAAGAGAGAACCATAAGCTTTCAAGTTGCCCGTATTTCTCTATTATCAATGCTGTTCTTATATTTTTCAACACGCCTCTGGAGACCGCTCTTATACTGGACAGAGTCAACTGCCACAAGAGCAGGAGCAAAATATTAAATCTGCGGACAGATTTGTTTCCTACTTTGAGGACTCATCAGCGCAGCACAGAGAAAATGAGGCCGAACCTGATACTATGCTTATAATGTTTCGAAAGGTGCTCACAGTGTGCTAGTATTAGAGACTGTGCTAGTAATGGAGACCTGTGCTTATAATAGAGAATGTGCGGTATCCGTTTTGTCCAACACTAACACATATAAGCATGATACCGGTGAGTCACAACATGCAACAATTAGCAGAAAAACTGACTGATGTGATACTGGTACTCAACGACCTGATGCTTAGCTGCATCGTGTCTGGAGTGCGCAAACCAACAGCCTTCTAACAAGTTATGAAATATGTAAGAAGGGGCCGCGAGGGGGGGGGGGGGGCGCACTCCAGACGAAAACAAGCTAAACATCACAGCGAACTAAGCGTGTTAGCTAAGAATAGATGACGATGAAGGATAACGACACACGGCGTAGTTAGGATTGCCATTCTATTGTGCTGGATATAGGCTGTGCAGTAATTTTGCTACCGCATGTTTGCTTATTCCTAATCCGGAGGTAAACATGTTTTCAGGAACTCAGATTTTTAAAGACAACGACGATGACGGCGACAGCGACAGTGATGACTATTTCAACGACGATGATGATTATAATGATGATTCTATCTATATGTCTGCTGCAGAGATCTCTCTCATAATCAGTTCACCTCCATCGAGTCTCTCCCACGTTTCCCCTTTGTCATTCATCTGTAAGTCTAATTTGGAGACTGAGCCAAATAACAAATCTGAAATGTTACGCATTTGTGCATCTACCTCATTTCCTGGAGCAATTGCATATTGCTGTGTAATGTGCACTGCACCTCTGCCTTCATTATTGTTACACAGAAACACAAACACACACAACCAGACAATACAAAATGTAAGATTGGTGTGGCTTGTACTCCAGTGCAGCTTGTACTCCGGAAACAAACAAACAAACAAACAAAAAACACTTATTGTGTTACATGCACAGGCCAAAGTCAAACTTATAACAAATTCTGTGCCCCCCCCCTTGTCTCCTGTTGTTCTCCTATTCTCAGAGATATTTCCCATAATCAGATCATAGACATCTCACCAACCTTCTTCCATGAGAAGTTTCCAATCCTTAAGCATCTGTAAGTTATCGTCCAGCTGATCAGCGTACGTCATTTTAAAGAATCCCGTGTGATCTACTTAGTCTGATTGTTTCATTCACTCAGCAATGAGCAATGGTAAACACTCTTCATCCAGAGCAATGAACAAGCAGTGAAACAACTTTCACCCAGAGCACTCAATACTGTGAAAATTCTCTTCCACCAGCATACTCAGTAGTGTTCGACCAGTAGCAGCAGCTACTTTTCTAGACCTAATCTTTAGAGTAGAACCCGGGTTACGGGTCCACCTAACTCTGCGCGGACATAGCTGGACTCAGTTGTACAGGGATGGGCAAAAAGGTGTGCAAAAGGAATTTTTGTGAGTAGATGGACCCCGGAAAAAAAATTTGGAGCGAAAAATTACGGCTTCCTCGGAAACCGACGGGTGACCCCCCTTAGGCCGGAATTTAAATCCCGGTATAAGGATCACCCGCACAATGTACATGCCAAGTGACCCGCATCTCGGGCTCCGCAGGATCACCCGCACAATGTACGTGCCAAGTCCCCCCCCCCCTCCCACCCGGCTCCAACCCCTAATCCGCTGTGACCCTTAACCCGGGTTCTACTCTAGTGTTGAAACGATCTCACCGGGTACTCGTTAGCTCGCTCGCCAGAAACTCGGCTCGTTTGTGCGGCCAGCTCGTTTACACTAACGACCACCGTACACCGTACTCCATACACCGTACACCGTACTCCGTACACATGGCAGTACATGTGTTCGGGGAGCAGTAAACATATCTTACAACTCCCACTGTCCGGGTCGATCGAGAGTCCAGTCCCGCGCAAAGTGAAAATCACTCGCAGTTACAGTGACTGTATGCCTGCACGGCACTCAATTGTTTCAGTTGTCATTGCGGCTTTGGTGGACTCCACTGACGTCTTGTTCCGCATCTGCTGACCTGTCGCAGGATATGCTTCTCTCAACTTTCCATTCGAGTAAAAGTTACGCTGACTAGTTTGCAAGTTTTCTCCCGCTTTCTATTTAAACTCTTTAGCTCGCTCGATAGCTTGCGCGTAAGTTGAACTGTTCGATCGTTTGTTTCAGATACGCTCGTTTCAACACTACGTAATTTCACTCGCAAATCCATGGATTCTGCAACATGAAAGTGTGTCACGTGTGAGTCACGCACAGATAATTGGGATGTTTAGGTTTGATCTCGACTGATCAAAAAGCTGTCGATTTATGCAGATCTCACAGCTCAAGGGGAGTGGTGTTGAGGTTCAACGGACTGGACTGATGTAAATTTATTCAGGTACATTATTCTGCTACCGCTGAAAACATGATTATCTGCGATCACTTCGCAAATTGTTAATTGTTACTACTGCCACTACTACATTTTGTAATTGAACGTTCTGGCCACGATAGGAACCAAGGCACTCACAAACACAACGTGTAATAGGTGTATCCATTACTTTACCATTGTATAGTAGAAGACTGGGGAGTCCTTAGACTCGAGCGGAATGAATGTAGTGACAGATGGAAGTTGATCATGTTGATCATATTCCCCAAAGATCTTCAATAGTGGTTTATGATCAGTGCGAAAGGGTAAAGTGCCGCCCACATATATACTGCTTTTAAAAGACGTTTCACGGCAAATACAATGGCAAGAGCTTCTCTCTCAATTTGTGCGTAATTTCTTTCAGCAGCAGCCAGTGAACGAGATACATAAGTAACAGGACGCAAATAACCTACTTTGTCTGGTTGTAGTAGGCAGGCACCGATTCCCGTTGGAGACGCGTCACACTCCAAGATAAGTGGCTTCTTGAGATCATAGTGAGCCAGTACGTTTGACAATGCTAAGATCTCCTCACACTGAATGGAGTTATGCTGACACATGGGAGTCCAGTTTCACTACGTACCGTTCTGAAGAAGACGGTTCAAGGGAAACAGCCACTGCGATGCATCGGGGATAAATATTATTTGTGGTATTCTCTAGCTTCTGTTTGTTTTGCAGTTGTTCTTGTGCAACCCCCCCCCCCACACACACACATTTTTCGATGCCTAGTTGCAACGCTGACGCCGAGACCTCTGGTCGGTTGAGTTGCTCCCAGCACATCAGCACGTCGTCCCTACATCCCCTATGTTTTGTCCTTTTCCTCGTTTCTTTTTGTTCTCCACCTGTTTTCCAGTAGGGCTGTGTCAATAGTAAAAAAAAAAAAAAAAAAAATCGACCATAAAAGTTGACCAGCCCCAAGAAGGAGTGTAGTTCTGACGAGTTTGCGGGCTGTGGCGCTTTGGCTATGGCAGACACCTTAATAATAATAATAATAATAATAATCTTTATTAGGATGACCCAGAGGCTTGTCGCCTATCAAGGGGTTCACCGCTTTGAAGGATGTACATGTACATGTACATGTATGAGCTAAAGTGAAAGTAGTGAAAAGTTGTGCAGCGTGAATGCGTTGGGGAGCACACAGGGGGGGGGGGGGGGTATGTACATGGCGTAGGCATCCCCGAGAGCGAAGCACTATGTTTGCAAGTGAGTTTGCGAAGCTCATTCTTGAAAACAATAATGGATGGTTCTGCAGTTAGTCTTGGTGGGAGGCAGTTCCATAAGAGGTTTGGAAGAGAAACAACGATTTTGATGTGGTCTTTGCTTTAGGTAGAATAATTTTGTTAGGGCGTCTCGCACTCTGCGTGATATTGAAATGGAATGAAGCTAGATAACGTCGATACTTGAAAATAAATTTGTGCATGGTAACTAAGCTTAAAAACTGCCTGCGGTAAAGAAGGGATTCAATGTTAGCTTTTTTATTAAGATCCTGCTTGGGAGTATTAAAGACGATTCGGATTTTGCGTTTCCTAAGGTAGGATCTTGCAAACCTGGCCTGGACTCTATCCAGCTCAGTCAAGTCGCTTGAACGAAGATGGAAGGACCACACTACGACTTGCTAGGATCAGCATGCAGCCCCTTGCTTGATACAATGAAGCCTAGATACTTGACACTCTCCTGGTTCAGCTCACACTTTGCTTTCTTCAGCTGTAACCCTGCCTTTTCAAACTGTCTAGAACTTGACGCAACCGTCGGGTATCATGCTCTGCTTGGTTGGTTCCCGTGATTAAGATGTCATCAAAGTACACTATGACCCCATCGATGCCCGCTAAGATCTGCTCTATAGTCTTTTGCCAGATTGGTGGTGCTGAGGAAACGCCGAATGTCAATCTCGTGAAAGCAAACAGCCCTCCGTGGGTTGCAATGACGCACGGTTTCTGACTGTCATCGGACAATGGTAACTGAGTGTATGCTTGGCTGAGGTCAACTTTTGAGAAAACAGAGGCCCCGGTAATGCTGGACAATAAATCACTGGTATTTGGAATAGGGTGTATGTTGCTTTCAATATGCTGGTTGATGGTGACTTTAAAGTCTGCACAGAGTCGTATAGAACCATCGGCTTTCTTCACAACTACAATCGGAGTAGCCCACTCTGAAGATTCTACCGGCACTAGAACACCCTCCTTAATCAAACAATCTAATTCAACTTCAGCTTGCGGTTTCATGGCGTATGGCAACAGTCGAGCTGAGTAGCACTTGGGTATTGCACCACTGGCTATGTGGATCACTGCCTCCGAGTCATGAGTCTTGCCCACACCACCTTGAAAAACGCTTGGGAACTCGTCTAGTACAGACTAAGAATCAGACGTACGTGGAGCAGAAGAAACAGAACAGATGGTATGCCAATCCAAACGTATGTTAGACAACCAATTGCGGCCGAAAAACGGGGTGGTGCCCTCTTTGACCACAAGAATTATTGAAATGCCGAAGTATAACACTACATAATTATACTGTCAGTAACACTTTTTATTCTATCGCCATCATAATATTGGGCATCAATGCCCGTTTGGTGGTTTGCGGTGTAACATAAAACTTCAAACAAAATACAGTTTTTCTGCACCACTTATGTAACTGTGTAGTTCAGCCCCCCCCCCCCCACCCCTTCCTCTCTGCTCACTCCTTCCTTGCCCACTTCATCCTAATGATGGTCACTGTGACTGAAAAGTTGAACCAGTATCTCCAGTTGATGGTGTGGAGTTCCAGTGTACGGGTAGCTGCTAGCTGGACAGTGTTGCAAGTTTGCTATTTGTCCAGTGCAGGAATTGTCTTATCGATAAGTTTGTTGTGTCGTAGCTGACCTCAGAGACGTATTTTCATGTTACTCACCGCAAAGGGGCAACATGGCCACCAAAGCTGTACAGCAAATTGTCTATAAGTTGTTGCATCAATACTTATTTGGAGCCTCTTGATTAGAACTAAGAACAAGGCATGCAACGAGTTGATTAACAATACAGAAGGTTAATGACACGTCCTGTGGCAGGTGCAAACTCGATGGTCAAAAGTGAAAAGAAATTCCAGCGTAAGACCAAAAACACTGCAGCCAATGTTGGATCACCAACCGCTGCATTAGGGCGAGAACCCTCAGACCAAGCCAACGCCATTTTCCTTCTTCTCATGGCTCAGGAAACAGAGAGTTGTGGAGTGGTCTGAGTGTAGCCATGAACTATCTTTTATGTGCCAGCCATGTTGTGTACCTTGGTGACGCATGCACTGTAAAACCTGTGAAAAACGACCACACCTTGGGGCCAGAAAAAGCGGTCTTTAGTGGCAGGTGGTCCTTAGTTAGAGGTTTGCATCGCACAGCCATAATATGAATGTGGGACAGTCCGTGCCTGGTGAAGTGGTCTGTCGTACCAGGCTGGTCGCTAGTCGCGGTGGTCTTTAGTTACAGGTTTTACTGTAGTACCAGGCTGGTCGCTAGTCGCGGTGGTCTTTAGTTACAGGTTTTACTGTAGTACCAGGCTGGTCGCTAGTCACGGTGGTCTTTAGTTACAGGTTTTACTGTAGTACCAGGCTGGTCGCTAGTCACGGTGGTCTTTAGTTACAGGTTTTACTGTAGTACCAGGCTGGTCGCTAGTCACGGTGGTCTTTAGTTACAGGTTTTACTGTAGTACCAGGCTGGTCGCTAGTCACGGTGGTCTTTAGTTACAGGTTTTACTGTAGTACCAGGCTGGTCGCTAGTCACGGTGGTCTTTAGTTACAGGTTTTACGGTAGTACCAGGCTGGTCGCTAGTCACGGTGGTCTTTAGTTACAGGTTTTACTGTAGTACCAGGCTGGTCGCTAGTCACGGTGGTCTTTAGTTACAGGTTTTACTGTAGTACCAGGCTGGTCGCTAGTCACGGTGGTCTTTAGTTACAGGTTTTACTGTAGTACCAGGCTGGTCGCTAGTCAAGGTGGTCTTTAGTTACAGGTTTTACTGTAGTACCAGGCTGGTCGCTAGTCACGGTGGTCTTTAGTTACAGGTTTTACGGTAGTACCAGGCTGGTCGCTAGTCACGGTGGTCTTTAGTTACAGGTTTTACGGTAGTACCAGGCTGGTCGCTAGTCACGGTGGTCTTTAGTTACAGGTTTTACTGTAGTACCAGGCTGGTCGCTAGTCACGGTGGTCTTTAGTTACAGGTTTTACTGTAGTACCAGGCTGGTCGCTAGTCACGGTGGTCTTTAGTTACAGGTTTTACTGTAGTACCAGGCTGGTCGCTAGTCACGGTGGTCTTTAGTTACAGGTTTTACTGTACTCACGACTAGTGTCAAAACGATCTCACCGTGTACTCGTTAGCTAGCTCGCCAGAAACTCGGCTCGTTTGTGCGGCCAGCTCGTTTACACTAACGAGCACCGTACACCGTAATCCGTACACATGGCAGTACAAGTCGAGCGGGAATTTTTTTACGACCCCCTGGTCGATCGAGAGTCCAGTCCCGCACAAAGTGAAAATCACTCGCAGTTACAGTGACTGCATGCCGCCTGCACGACACTTAGTTGTTTCAGTTGTCGTTGCAGCTTTGGTGGACTCCACTGATGTCTTGTTCCGCATCTGCTGACCTGCTGCAGGACAAACTTCTGTCAACTCTTGATTCGAGTGAAAGTTACGCTCAGTTGTTTGGAAGTTTTCTCCCGCGGTGCAGCAAAGAACAGGGCTACAGTCTTTGCAAAACGGTCTATTCTTACAAAGGCTGCTCAACGACGGCGCTGAAAAGACATCTCGACACCAAACAGCAGTCCAAAGTGAAGCAGCAGCAACCCCAAACCCCGGCAGTGATAATTTGGACCAGCTGAATTGAAAAAATCGAACCTAGGAAAAAATATATTTAAAAAATCATAATTTGCCACATCAATGAAACTCGTTAGCTCGCTCAATAGCTTCCTCGTTAGTGGAACTGATCGCTCGTTTGTTATAAATACGCTCGTTTCAACACTAGACCTGGGCACATCCCAATCATAGCCATGGATGTGTCTTCTGTCTATGCAGTATCCAGGGCACTGAATTATGCCTCTGTGTGCATGGGTATGCTTTAATTTTTATGGGTGCGCATGTATTTGTGTGTTTGTCCGTGTGTGTGGTTGCGTATGTGTGTGTGTGTGTGTGTGTGTATGTGTGTGTGTGTGTGTGTGTATGTGTGTGTGTGTGTGTGTGTGTGTGTGTGTGTGTGTGTGTGTGTGTGTGTGTGTGTGTGTGTGTGTGTGTGTGTGGCACTGCATTCTCTATTTTGGGCACTGCACCATCTGTTCAATTGCTGCGTCAGCTCTCTAGGTAGCAATGCATTTTACAGTTTGTTCATCAGTCCTATTAATGCAGACTCACCGATACCGTTGCCGAATCTAATAAGCTTGTAAGTGAAGACAAGTTTTAAGAATGACATTATGGAGGGAACTCTGCTGCGTAGCATTCGCTGCTTGCAATGCTCACTTTCCCTTACACAAGTCACAGAGCACCAAACATCTTTGCTGTGACTACATGTACCGTAAAGTAATAATTATAAGCCACGGCTTATATGACTTTTTGGGGAACTTTCACAGCCTTCTACTATGTATGTATGCATTCTTTACTTTACTTCGCAAAGTCAAACGGGATCGTTGCCCAATAATATGATAGCGAAGGGTGTGTGTGTGTGGGGGGGGTGACATATAAATAATAATTATCGTATTTAAACATGTTAGTACTCAGTAGGGAGGGATAAAAGAGCAGAAAAACGGCAGAAGGCTAAAGGTATATTATGAGACCGGCTTCAAAGAGCAGGCTTCGTTCCTGCTGTTGTAGCAGTTGAGCACTCTCGTGTGGGGTAGTGCCTTTGCTGCTTGCGTTATGCAGAGCTCACTGACTTGTCAGTTTGAGCAAGGTACGTTCGGGCATGATTTAAATCTGGCTTTGGATAATCTATTTTTCATTGCTATCAGCTTCGGCCTCATTGTTTCTGTGCTCCGCTGATGAGTCCACAAAGGACGAAACAGTTCTGTCTGCAGTTTGAGACAGGCTTCTATAAAAGACAGGTATTTCTATATATGTCAACCCTAAACCCAGGCTTGTATGTGTCGAGATTGATCTTGAAAATCAGGCGTCTATTCAAAGCAGGCTTCTATAATTATGAGACAGGCTTTATAATAAGACACTGCAGTGGTATCGTTTCATACCCTTATGCAATCATCCGACAATTGGCACTTATTTGCTGCTCATTTTGCCATATACATGTAGAATCATTCAAATTGTCTCTAAATTTGCATGAATGAATGCATAGAAAGTGAAGTGTTACTTCAATCTGTTTCTTTGCCCATATATCTCTAAAATGTCGCTCCCTATGTGTTTGTGGGTGTATTTTCGTTGCCGTCTCTTTCCATTTCTCTGGATTGCCGTCTGTGTGTGTGTGTGTGTGTGTGTGTGTGTGTGTGTATATGTGTGTATATATCTCTATTGTAACATGGAAATTGCGGGCACAAGTTATGAGATCGAGTCACCCAACTAAACAAGATTTTAAACAGTCAGACGTGCGCAATCTTGCACAAAACGGACAAGTTGGAAAGCCGTTGGTTTGCGCTATGGAGAGTGCTCAAGCTGACTTTCATGCTTTGGACTAGATCGTGCACGTCTGACTGTTCAAAATCTGGTTTAGTTTGTGGACTCGATCGCATAACTTGTGCTCACTTTTTCCATGTTACAATTTTTTTCCTTTGCTCACCATCTGAGTTCTTAAAGGGGAAGTATACCCTAAAATCAAATTTTCACCAGTTGTTGTCTTCGGGGTGCTAAGTCGAATGGTCTTGGTCTGAGGAAGCTGAGACGCTCCCTTCCTCCTTTATTCCCAATCGAACTCGCGCACTTCCACCGAAACTGGGTGACTGCACCCTACTAGATAGGGATTTGTATGGAAAAGTCACTAAAAACGCCGTTTCGTTCTTATAAAAGCACGGATGACCGCAATTGATCCATTTGTTGTAGTCTTTTGGCCGCTGAGTCGACTGGTTTTGGTCCGAAAAAGGCTGCGATGCAGCGTTCGTCCCTTATTCCCAATCGACCACGGTTGAGTAAGCGGTCACGTGCTCAGGCGTACACCAGTAAACTGAATTTACAGCCTGTTTGGGCCCGTTCCTTTCACTCGAGTTGAACCTTTGACCCAGGGAGTCGTAAAAGCCTTTGAGAAGAGCCTTGGTGTGAAAATTGTAGCCTGCAGGCACACACATGCATGGTGACCAGGTGACTGGTGTACGCATGAGCACGTGACCGCTTACTCAGCCGTGTTCGATTGGGAATAAGGGCAGAGCGCGGCATCACAGCCTTTTCGGAGCCAAACCAATCGACTCATCAGCCAAAAGGCTACAACATATGGACCTATAGCGGTCATCGGTGCTTTTATAAGAACGACACGGCGTTTTTAGTGACTTTTTCCATACAAATCCCTATTTAGTAGGGCGCAATCACCCAGTTTCGGTGGAAGTGCGCGAGTGCGATTAGGAATAAAGGAGGAAGGGAGCGTCTCAGCTTCCCCGGACAAAGACCATTCGACTCAGCACCCCGAAGACTACAACTGGCGAAAATTTGATTTTAGGGTATCCTTCCCCTTTAATATACCTCTATAGTAAAGAAAAGAACCGAGGAACTAC